AGCGGGAAAAGCTCTCGACGGAGAGTTTGATCGCAAACTACTTTTCTAGAGAAAAAGAATTGAGCTCCAAATATGAAAAGACTGTTGAGAATCTTTCATGCCAATTATCTCTCGTTTGTACGTCCAAGGATGAAGCTACCAACAAATACGAGGCAATCGAAAAATCACTTCGAGATTACGAGATCAAAAACGTAAAATTGGAGGCAGAGATTGAAAAGCTAAAATCCGAAAATCAGCGTTTGCTCCAGGCATCTTTGCAGGTAAAAGAAACGATCCCCAACCTCAAAAAAGGTTGTCTTCAACAAGAACCATCAAAAATACCTGAACTGCACCAATCTCGGCCTTTAGAACACTTGGTTGGGCAATCGCATGAAGCTCAAGATAAAGATACCTCTACGCATCTGAAAAGACCGCCACAATTAATATTTTCTTCATCAGAAGAAGAGGAAGACCCTGATAAGGTCGCCTTATTTGCACAAAACAAAAGTCCTCAAATTAGAAAGGGTCACAAGGTTTCCAGATGCCGCTTATACTCGCCAAAGAAGACCATACAGAGGCAAAGGAAAAGTGTAAAAATTGCATCTCCAAATGAAACCGACCCCACACCCCCAAGAGTTTCCATACCAGCTCAACATATTCTGGGGCCTCCTGATTCCAATATCCAAAAGAAGCAACAGAATTCTCCAACGAAAAAGCATAAAAATTCTGGCCAGGATACAGATCAAAAAATGGAACAAACAAACGAACAGGCTGGCGAAGCACGGGGCCAAACAAAGGTCCAATCCAAATTACCCATCCCAGATCCTCTGGATGTTCCTTTGAAGAATACTAGCATCGCTGATAAAAGAAAAGCTCAACGGGCTGCCACGAACCCCACTTCTATCAGTTCAACTAACGAACCGTGTTCTTCCCTATTGAAAAAGTCAACCTTCAGGCCGTTGGGACCCAAATTGGCATCTTCAATCCTATCTGAAGAGAATAGTTCATTTTTGTCAAACCTTTCCCTGTCTTCAGCTAGTTCGGAAGACTCCTTCTCGTTCAGTCGGCAAAAGCATCCGGCTGCTCTTTCAATTGCCCCAAAGGTTCGTTCCATTTGCTTAACGCTTTAGTCTTCAATTTTGCGAACAGACCCAAGCTCCATCAGCGATGCAATCAAATCTGCATTCGCCATCCGCCAGCCCAAGTTATAACAACTTGTGATTGTACACTATGGTTTCATTATCAATTTTGAACTTTTCATTAAATTTTTGAGCTTTCTTAACTTTATGTTAATTCAGGACAGGGCAAACCAATCCATCAACATCAATGAAAGCGACAACGACAGCACGGTGCTCACCATGCTCAATTTGAATAGACTGTCAAATTGCACTATCGAGATTTCCCTGCAAACTACGCCTCTTTGTATTTGTGTGGATGCAATGACGAAATGCAGGGTAATATTTAAACATCCCGTTCTTCTTAATCAATTTCGAATACATAGCTGCTCGGATTCGGTCTTTGAGATAAATTCAGATAAAGCTGGATCAATCATATTGGAGAACTGCAATCGCTTGAGGTTTTATTCACACCATGCCGAAAAAATATCCATTTTTGATTTTTCAGATCCACTTGGTTTGTGCAGAAATTACGAATTATTTGGCTTTGCCAATTTATTTTTGGAAAATAAAATTTAGCTATTTAATTCACAGACTCGGCATTTCGCGAATCAGAGATGAGTATTTTGCATTT